CCACTATGTATCTTTATTTGTAAAGATTTTTATGAAGTTTCGGAATCCAATATAGATATGGTAATTTGAATTCATTTTTGTTGTTGGGAATATTAAAAATATTCAAAACTGACATATGACATATGATATGATCTTGAAGATTTTCCTCCTTAGAAAGGGAGCTATGGCTATTGGTATAAGTTGGATTGCCACGTGTAGAATTAAATTCCAGTTCCTCTAAAATACAATTTATATAATGAGCCTTACAAACAAAGACAATGTTGTTACATGCTTTGTCAGCAGGAACCAGTACTTCATGATCTTGTAATCTATCTAATTCTTTTTTCACTTCTGAATTATTGAATACAGAAGGATAGATGGTTTTCATACTTCCCCTCAATCGTTTAATGCGAGATTTTAACATACATCTGATACATTTAATCCATTCTGACAAAGTGTCAAGGTCTTCTTTTTCATGAGGAAATAAATAAGGAAAGTTGACGATTGAAAAGATAAAGTCATCTCGATTGTCATAGAATTTAGTTAATAATTGGTCTTTATCGTCTATAGTCAGTAAAATATCTAAATATAAAACAGATGTGGCAGACTCTGTGGTGTCTTTTATTTCAAGTTCACGGGGATATATCGAGTCGACATACGAATGAAAATAACTATTGTTAATTGATAAAACGTCGTCGATATATCTGAATGTCGAATTAAAGGTTTAACGTTACATTGGTATTAATTAATTTTTCTCACATTGAGACGATCTGAAAGCATTTACTATTTTCTGTCATTCTGTATTTTAATCTAAAGGATCCCATATGAAACCAATTGTCATATTTCTTCTCTCTTTGGTATACTTGGGTGTTGTTGCCACCTCAATGTCAGATTCCATGAAATGACTACTACAGTTTAACACGCATCATTCAGTACCGAGTAAAAGACACCACTTTTTGTTCTTCCATTGAAGCTTATGGTCATCCAGCTATTTTGCTTTCACTTTGGTTGACTAATTTGTCGGAAAATAACATTTACACCTACGATGCAAACTTCAAAAACTTTTCTTAAAAACGTTTCTCCCTGTGTTTGTTTCAGCACATCCCTGGCCTGGGCAATTTTTACCTCTACAGAGAATTGAATGTATGTCCGTAGCTACGTTACACGCTTTGACATCTAAATGTATTTCACATGTAAGTTTGAAATCAGAATGAGTTTTTGATAAACTCCGTATTTTCTATTCGATATTTAAACAAACTTGCAAACTTGAAGTCAGTCTAAAATGGACAAAAGACGTAGCTGTAAATTCATGGACATACGAACCAGTCAGTGCCCCCATCTCCCTATAATTCTGCCGATATATAGTATATTATAGAAAGTAAAAATATTTTATGGATTTGGTCTCTCAATAGTTACATTTGATGATTTCTTTTTTGTTGGTTATCAAGAAAATTTTCCTTTGTATTGCCCATCCAAACTGAAAATGTTCTTTATCTCCATTCCCTAGTGAAATTGCGTCAAGGGTCTTTGTATAATCTATATTTCCCCCTTACGCTGGATCAACAGGGACTTAAAAGTTACATATATATTATGTATCTGTTTTTATGACTTTCTCGGTTACTTCTACCATCGATATTCTAATATACCATTTTAAAGAAAAATCAATTCTCTCAAAAATAGTTCATACCTTTATTTTTAAAGTTTGTTAAACTTATAAACCAATTTCATCAAAACACGTAGACAAGAGAGAAAAGAAACAGAATGTCCCAGTACATATAATTTCCGATCAACTCCTGCATAATTTACTTTTTGATAGAACTTACTTAAAGATTACAATTAAAAATGTACTATCATGAAATATGACGATAACAGATAGTAATCAAGCTCAAAAGTCAATTAAAACAATACAAATTAGGAGCAGAGAAAATGCGGACCTCTAAAAAATCAGAGGTGGGACAGATGTCATAAAGTTGTAATGTAAATGTTACACGATAAAGTAAGCACCCTCCATAAGTAAGTAATTGTTTATACATAAAGAAAATTATTTCATTCATTCACAGGTTCTCATAAGGAAAGGTTATGACACTAAAGAAGTTTTTGGTCTGCAACTTTCATTTTTTTAATTCTCAAAGAAAATGAATTATTCAGTATTTTCCTTTAAAGTTAGTGAGCTATGGCTGATAACTATTTAATTTGAGATTAAGTTTTCCTCACGAAATGTAAATAATTAAGGGGCTAACCGAAAGCGAAGCTGCTGATAAAAACATGTATTTAAAACGCTAAAAAAGAAAGGAAGGGGGTATTAAATATTTCTTTACATATCATCAATATGCTGAAGAAATAAATTATTTCAGAACTAAGTAAATGCTTTGTCGGGCGAAGGGCAATAACTTCGATATTTAACTTGGCCTTCTGCACGTATTCGATATACTTCGATTCTGTGCAAAAGAAATGAAGCAAATTGACAAGGAAAATACTTCAGATGAGTAGTGTATTGATTTAGCAAGTTTAATTAAGAAATAATTAACAAGGTTAAAAAGTTCTCTGGGAAATGAACTTGAATGTCATGTGATCAAATCCTGTTAAGCTTGAAGGTCTTCTCGGTACATGTAGTTATGATCACGTGCCAATTAATTTCATTTTCCAATGAACTTTAAACTTTGTTATTTATTGCTTATTTTTATATTTGAGACGAATATTCGAATATTACACGAACGGTCCGCCGTATCACAATATTGTGATAAGCAGTGATCATCAAAATTCGCCTAGTCCAACATTTGAATGTTTACATTGATGCTTAGCAATCATGTTTCAGAAAATCTCTATTTATAATGATAGAACAATGATCAGTATTGAGAATAATCTTACGATTCTTTATACATGTGAAGTCAAAAGGGGTGGTGCCGTCTGTTTCAGTTTACATATCTTTAAAGGCAGTTTCACCGTGACAGAAACACATGCATCTCGCTTTTTGATTAGGTAACGCTATGACCTCTTAACCTCTAATAAGTTCATACAGTATTGAACATATTTTTCTCTTTGATAACTTCATGAAATATATGAGAGATAACGAACAGTATTCAGGCTCAAAAGTCCAATACAAATCAGGAGCAGACCAAACACGGGCCTCTATAACATCAGAGGTGGGATCAGGCGCCATGAGGAGTGAGAGTCTCTGCCGACCGATGAAACCCGCTGTGTGCTCCTTTCATAATCGGGAAATAACGTAAAAATCGGTCGACAGTTCAGTGTATAAATAAAGGCCTAACAATTAGTATGAAAAATGTCATTCAGCATTTGACTAAATGATAGTGTATTTACTGACAAGGTCGTTGTATCGACCATAGAACTTACGAAATGATTACTAATAACGCGTAATTGGTACTGATGGGAATTCCAACAGACTGTTTGAAGACCTGGTATCCAAAATCTACATAGATATTGTCAAGTAAACGTAAGCATCTTTTTTAATATCAACTTAAGTGCTTGGGTGTATAATTAGATTTATCTAACAAAATGATTTTGCAAATGACCAATGACAAGGTAAGTAAATTTTAAGTCCAATTTTATTGAAAAAGCAACTGTTTATGATGTCAAAAAGCGTGGACTTTAATTTATCGTGGGGAATAGTTGTATATAGAGTTGAAAAGTCGTAAGTTTTATTGTTATTGATTTTGGTAAATTTTTGTGATTTCAAAATTTTCCAAAGGTTCCCTGGAGTTTTTAATAATCCACATCTAATTTACACCACTTCTCGAATATTTATGTACAGAATTCCTAAAGTTTCTTCTTAACTTCCGTTAATATTTTAGTGAAGAGTAAAGAAATAGGCCTGGTAGAACATTTACTGGTACTTCCTATGTATCTTTGTTTGTAAGGGTTTTTATGAAGTTTTGGACTCCAATGTAGATATGGTAATTCCAATTCATTTTGGTTGCTGGAAATATTAAATTATTCGAAACTGACATTTGATTTTTCGTTAGAAAGGGAGCTATGGGTATGCGTTGGATTGCAATTTGTAGAATTAAATCCCAGTTCCCCTAAATTAGAATTAAAATAATGAGCCTTAGAAACAAAGACAATATTGTTACCTGCTTTGTCCGCTGGGACCTGTACATACTGATCTTGTAATCTATCTAATTCTTTTTTCACTTCTGAATTACTAAACATAGAAGGATAGATGGTTTTTATATTGCCTCTCAATCGCTTAATGCGAGAGTTTAGCATACATTTGATAAATTAAATCTATTCTTATAAGTGTAAAGGTCTTCTTTTTTATGTCTGGCCCATCGCCTGGCGTTATCTTCCACAGAATTCATAATATTTATGAAATTTATCTAAGGAAAATATTTGCAAGTTTAAATACAGTGTGTTCGTTAAGATGCGTGCTTTGTGAAAACAGAAAACTTTTTTTGCGTTTTTTTTTTTTTATTACAACCACCAATAAACAACTGTCATAACTTTGCATTATATTTGATATTTTTTCTTGTTTTCTTGGAAAGGATGAAATATGAAGAAAATGAACAATGATCATTAAACGAAAGTTCATTTTTAAAAAAGAAAAATTACAAATTACGAAAAGATCAGATGCCATGGTGGAGCATTCCCTTTCGGCCGGTCATGCTCCTTGCATGTAATGATCGGGTAAATAGAAAAATCCCAAGACTATTATGCATTTCAGTATAAAAATAATGGCCTAAAAATTTGTAAAAGAGACTTAACGACACATTGTTTTTACAAACAAGGTCATCATGTCGACCATAAAATATGAGAAATGGTGACTTCATACGAGATTGTTGATTTCCTTGTATGATCAACTTATTTGTTAATAGTCTGCTTAATAAAAATCTAAATTATTACATCTTCAATCTTGTGTCATCAGAGACATTAATAGCAGAACTTTGTCTCTCTGCTTTAATGTCACTTTAGCTGTAAAGATATATAATATGCGATACATATGCAATATGTTTCATGGTAGACCAAAACAAATTTGATAGCAAAATTAACAATGAAATAAAAGATGTAATAGGACTAAACTTTATTTTTAATCTTCATTTTCTGAAAGATTTTGTTTTTCTTCTGCAATCTGTAATAAAAAAGTCACTTTAGTTTTGTAGTATTTACAACAAAATTTGATTGTGCTACATGCAAATGACTGTCAGACACTAAACACATGTAGATATCGATAAAAAAATATCATGTTACTGGTAAGCATAAGAAATATAACCTAAATGAAATTGTTTCTTTCATTGAAAGGTTTCTGTGAGAGATAAATTTGACTGATATCATATTTGAAAACAGGTAATGTTGAAATAGAGTCAGTGTATTTTAATCTTTTCAAAATTAGATTGAAGCACCTATATAAATATCTAAATATCTTTTTAAAAGCAACAAATGGTTACCTTTCTAATTTTATATCGTCTGTAAAACGCCACACCGAAAATGATGCAAATGACCAGAAACCCCAGTCCGCCGGTCACACTGGCTATAATCATACCATTTTGTTCTGTAATGGAATCATTTATTGTAAAAATCCATAATAACATTGAATTACTTTCTTGCATTAATTCTTTCCTGAAAACCTGTTTTGGGGGTGGTATTTACAAGGACAAAGGTATTTTCAGGACAGAATTTGTAATATACAAATGTAATTTTAATATCATATTTTCCAATGGTTTTGGCTGCTTAAGCACAATCTTGGTTGAGAATATCACAACCCTCTTGGATCCTGATCCTTGGCATCCTCTATACATTAAAGAAAAATATTTTTTGACATTGGGAAAATTATATTGTATTCAGGTGTAAATGTTGAGTTTATCAATGTAAATATAAATTTTCAAAATACGTGGCATTTACCCTCAGGTAAAAATGTTCAAAGACAATGGAGCATAGATAAACAAAAATCATTGTTGTTAATTATAATTTAAGTGGGGAAAACACATGCAAATAAAGTGTTCAATGGATTTATCTTGACTTTTCAAAATGTTAAGAATGTTTGGATTGATTATAAGTTGTGTAATTCACGGTAGATTTAAATTAATTCCATTTTAGATCAAAGGGCAAATTACTGTAATTGCAAAAGAATACCACAATGTCTTAACTCGCTAGTTTGTAGTATATAGAGGGTTTGTAAGTTGCATTTATATGCTAAGCATAATTTTTGAATATCATGTCTAGCGATCTTTGATAAGGGACATATATTCAAACTAATGACACATCACTTCATCATGGAGAATTATAAATTAAAATTAAAATTCATACCAATAGAGAGCTCTAAAATCATAAAGCGCACGCGCAGAAGCTCATGAGGGAGTAGGGAAATTATTAGTCAAAACAAATATTTCACCTTGGGCACTATATTCACCTAAATATCTCCATGTATAAGCTAATCTATTATATACCCGTATGCAGTTCCCTAATCACGTAGAAAGAAATACTTGCTCTGTTCTTCGGAAAGTGGTGCTGGGTCGATTTGTATGTACACTTTACCACTTTCGTCACATGTGATTTCGATAAACTCATCATTTGAACCAGCTAAAAAGGAAAACAAAATAATTGCATTACACAATGAAATTAGTAGAATATCCGATAATTAACTGATTACATTTTTCATCTACACTTTACTGAAAGCAGAATAAAACTTTATACCAAAAAAAAAAAAAAATAAATAAAATAAAATAAAATAAAAACAATAAAAAACAAACAAAAACAAAAAACAACACCTCCCCCCCCCCCCCCCCCCCCCAAAAAAAAACAAAAAACAAAAAACAAAACAAACAAACACAAAAAACCAAAACCAAACAAACCACAAAAAAGAAAAAACAAACAAACAAACAAAAAAAAACCCACACAAAACAGAAATACAAAAGTAAAACAACCCGAAAAATCATCTGTTTATTGGTCAATTTGGTACCTTTAAATCCGAGCCAAATGAACTCTTCCCTATGTATTTTCGTTTCGAATGTTACGTTTATCTGTGATGCATGTATATCAGAAATCAGTCTTGGTGTAAAATCATTATTAGGTAAATCCTTTAATACTTTAAGCGAGCTGCCATCACTTATAGTTACATTCTGGAAGGTGGATGCATTTAGCCTAAGGTCCATAATCCATACTTCAATATCTGAATGGTTTGAAGTTTGCACAAAGCACGTGACATTTGTAGACGTAGTACCACTTTGGTACGAGTTTGTGTTAGATGTGGTAAGATACAAATGTTGTTGATTCCGAATTTTCAAATCTAGGTGCGGTGTTTCCATCCGATTTCCTAAAAAGTATATTTTAAATTATATGAAATCACCAGCAATCTGAATGTTATTTAAAATACAAAGTAAAAAGTTAGAATAATTTTTATGGCTGATTTGAATTCAATCTAATAATCCTAGAGACAATGATTTTAAATATTTGAACTGGCAAGTGGTAATCCAACTTATAACCATAGTTCCCTTTCTATCTAGAAAATTCTTCAAAACTATATGCCGGTTTGAAATATCTTTGCTATTCCCAACAATCAAAATGAATTTAAATTACCAAACCTATACTGGATTCCAAACTCCATAAAATTCTTGCAAACAAGGATACAAAGCGGGTTTCAATTAATGCTCTACCAAGCCTCTTTCTTTACTCCTCAATAAAATATTTACAGCACTGAAGGAGAAACTTCAATAGTACTGTACAACAGGATATTCGAGAAGTGGTGTAAATCAGATGTGGATACTTAAAAACTCCAGAAAACTTTTAGAAAATTTGAAATCATTTTTTTTTTTTTTTTACAAAATCAATAATATCAAAACGTACGACTTTTCAACACTTTATATAACCATTCCCAACGATTTTTAAGGGACTGAATTACTAGTAAACGGTAAAATCGAATAATAATAGTAATAACCACAGTTCTAATTTTGTGTTAACTTGATTTGTATGTCATCATTGGAGGGAAGTGCAATTTTCTTTGTAAAAAATTAATCTGGACTTCCGGGGCCCGTTTTACAAAAGAACTTACGACTATCGGTGACTTCGGTCATCATTTTTAAGGGACTGAATTACGGGTAAACGGACAAATCGAAACCTATCTCAAGGTATGGACTTGCACGTACATCATTTAAGTAAAATGACGTTGATTCTAACCGTTGCTGTAAAATAGATAAGTGTAACTTTGGTTTCAATTGATTTCTCAGTAGTGTTAAGAATACATTTGGAATGACATCATTTTATTGAACGTATCCAATTGTAGTAAATTACGAATAACAACTCGTTTATCTGAAAAATTTCGTATATCAATGGCGTGAATTTTATCTCGTTCATCCATAAATTTTTGCCTAAAATTTACATGATATTCTACGAATAAGTCATGGATCACTCCAACATAATGCAATAAAAAGGTGCATAGGTTAAACAATTATTCATGTTGAATAAAAATAGAAATACATGGTCACAACTCAGTTCAATAAAATCGGCCTAAAATCGGCCCCGTGGCACTCTCCGCAACTGTATGATCGGCCCAAAATCGGCCCTGAGGCACAGAAGTGATTTAAAAAGCAAAACAGTTTGCACTATAGTTTTGACGTCAAATATGGTATTATGACGTAACAATGGAGATATTCATGCTCATCCATGGTAGTACATGAGAAAATGAACAGTCTTCTAATTTGCAAAGAATCTTAAGGAAAAATATTTGGAAATGTAAATGTTAAAAGATGCTTGAGTTTCTGATTGACAATATCTATGTAGTTTTTGAAGAACAGGTCTTTCAACAATATATCAGAATTCCTATGGGTACTACATTCACCCCCTTGTTAGCAGACCTATTTTTGTATTCATATGAAGCAGAATTTATTCAAAAACTTCTATATGAGAAAAAAACACTTGCTGTGGCCTTCATCTCGACATATACATGTATCGATGACTTATTATCAATTAGCAATAGTTTCTATGAATTTCAAATTCTTAATTTTCATTTTCTCAAAACTTAAAATTGGAATATTTTATATTAAAAAGAAATATTACTTATTCATGAATTCACATATCATTTCCAAAATTTAATTCATTGGAATTGAACTTTAAGGATTTAAAGGCTTTAGCGTACGATAAAAGTAGAATAAAGTTCTGTAGTAAATCAAATTAAGCATTTACTATGGTTAATTATATGCATAATTTTAAAAGGATTTTTCAAACAAAGGCACGCATCTTCAATGAAACTTTTTTTTATTATTTGATAGTATTAAATTACTGCAAATAATATGAATTCATTTCCCTTATTCATGCCGCAAAGAAATATACCTTAGAAATCTTTCTTAGGTTTTTATGTATCAACAATTGTTTTATTAGTCCTCTACGACATGTGCACGAAAACAAAACACCAATACTTTAATATGCCTTCATACTTTAATTACATCCAGTGTCTTCTTTGTTGTTACTGATCGCCAACATATATTTATCACTTTTTGCCAACAATTTCTCAAGAACGCTTATATATTAGCATCTATTTGTGTATACAAAATAGATGCCTTTATTTTACGAGAAAAGTATATTTGCAGGGACCTATACACTAGTATATAGGTCCCTTGTACGTTGGCTTTTAATAGTCGGGCTTGGATGACACAGCAAGTGTCTATATAAAGGGTCGGGTTTGTTCTTCACATTCCTTTCTGCTGAACCTTTCAAAGGTAAAGACGCATAACAAATGCTTGCAAAAAATACATCTAATTTTTGCTTTGTAATTTTAAAAAATCGTATAATTTTCCATTTATGTATTGTTTTTCAACCATTTTAAAGCTTTTATTACTGTTGATGTTTATTAAATAAGGCGGATGATGTTGGATTCAAAATTTTTACGCAGCAGACGACGCACACGCGGTTATGCCAAAAAATAATTAATTTACCATTGTATTGTTATTAAATGAGCAAATATTGGTTATCAACATTAATTATTGTCTTTTTGTTTCATACTGCGTCGAAATCGGAAAATGCAAACCCAGAATAGGGGAACAACAGTATGGAAACTCGGTCGGACCTTTTTTGTGGACACAGTGAGGATGGATCAAAATATAAGTCAAAGAAAAGAAAAGCAAATAATCTGTGAACCAGTTGGAAAACCAGACATTGAATATACGTATCATCACAATCCAATGTATCAGGTACATCCAACACCTTTGAAATACATAAATCGGTGAATGTTTATTCTTGATTAATCTTTGCCATTGTAAAATGCGACAAAAATATAAGCAATAGTCTGCTTATACAGTGTATAGATATTGCTTCTAAAAATCCTTTCCTTAAAGTGGTACCTTTCAAGCTTAGAGTGTAGAATTTATTTCTATTTTTAAAGAAAGGGGGGGGGGCTTACTAAGGGAAAAAAAAACTATTAAGTTTCAAACAAAAGTACCGGAAAGTCAAGCTGAAAACAAAATGTATATAAATATAACTACCAGTAAATCCTACAAAATTATGTCACAATAAAATAATCTTTCAAAAATACATTCAAATCATATTTTATTTTTACCATAGAATTCTCTCAAAATAAGGACAGAAGACTTACATTTGCCTGGAATTGTTCAAAACTAAGGTCAAAATAATTCAATAGATTGTGCATAGATGCTATTGTTAGGTGCACATTGTACAGCAGCCTTAACTTTGCCATTTGTTCGGTTATATTAGTAGAATGTTCTGGACCTATTATACATTTATATTAGGTTTCTATTTGTGAGAGGATTAAGTTTAGTTTTTGTGTAAATTCAGGTGGTATGTAATATAACAGATACAATGTTCTGTGTAATTGTAAAGTAGAACTTGGTGAATCTTTCAACTATTAGGCACTACTTACAACAGGGCTCAGACTCAACAATGATTTGTTTGGAGGAACAATCAATTTATGAAAGCATCAGAACCAAAGAAAGCCCTAAAATTCTTGTTTCATGAAAGAATTTGTAATTAAAGTTAGAGCACTAGATTATAAAAATAAATAAATAAATAAAATCTGTAAGCAAACCACCTTATCATATCTCTAGTGTGTGATGAATTCATTTAAATAAAAGGGAGAATGAAACCACCTATCTTGCCCAGAGAAGAGTATTGTTATATTTATTTAAATGCTCCAGAGCTTTCCTGGAGTTCAGTGCTTTGTATTCATGAAATTTTAGACTAATGTTGTGAAAAGGAGGCTCTGATATATAGGTAAGTCATAAGATCAGTTGCATATCATAAGTTGTTACAGATTTACACTCGAGTTGAGCTTCCAACTCAATATATATATGACTTGAAACAGGGGGATCTTAATTGTGTGGGGTCTGGGAGCAGTAAACCTCTAGAAAAGGCCTTTCTCAAGTCTCGTATCTTTAGGTGCTCTTGTCGAGGATTCTATTTGCTAGCTATTAAGTTGAAATGAAATGATCTTGTAATACAAAAAGGGGGGATTTATCATTGTTAAACCACATAAATTATCAATCTCATATTGATTAAGTTTGAATGAAAAGGAATATGCAAATATTTTTATATTAACATCCATTTTCTATTACTGGAATTAGGATATCTTTGTTATGATCCTGTAGAGTGCAAATGAAAGGTTGGAAATTGCAACATCTTGTACAAGAATGTTTTGTGATCACTAATTAATGAATACATGTATCTCTTAATGACCAATTATTAAATCAAAAAAATAATTACAGTCAAACCTCATTGTATTGAACTTATTGGACAAGAAATAACTTTCAATTGAGATGTCGGATATTTGAGATGTCAATATTAGAATTCTTGAGGAGTAGGTGTCAATCTGAAGTAACCATTTTATTTAAGATATCAGTGTTCCAAATACCAAAGTTAATATTACAATTACTTTTGTAAAGCAATTAAAACTTATAGAACATTCATCAGATTTGTATGTTGCAAAATGAATATATGGTCTTATATTAACTATATTTAGTTGTCTTTAGACATCAGAAGTGACCCAAAGAAAAACTGTCAAGTACATGTACCTTAAATTCTTCATAATGTAGCAATTATTTCTCAGAAGAGTCCTAGAAGGATGCTTATATTTTGTAATTTTATACAGATAATGCCGATTTTTTGACTTCGGGCATTGGGCTTACATTTTAAGGTGTTTGGATCTGAAAACTCCTAACAGGGTGCTTATATTTTGTAATTTTGTACATGTATATAATGCTGATTCTAAGACTTCAGGATGTACATTTGGTTTACATTTTAATGAGTTTGGTTTTGTTTTTATTCAGAACACCAGAAAAATATAATTTCCTTTTTGGATCAAGTCCATAC